GGGGGGGGGGGGGGAAGAGGTGAAGTATTTGTGGAAGTTTTGCTGCATAAAAAAATTAGAGTTGAGCATATGAAGCATTATTGGTGTGAAACAGGGATCATTTGGAGCATTGATACCGATTCAGCTTCAGAAAAATGAGTGCTACAACTTAATTTTTACTCAGTGATATTTCCCTTTGAGTACAAGAAGTCAGTATTCCTTCTGGTATTACTATATGCCAGCCTTTTCTGGGTGGTTTGGGTTTTTTTTTTTTACCCGAGAAATGTGTGCTGCAAAATAGTTGCCCTTTGTTCTGTATGTGATGGGTACATATGAATAGTCATATAAATACTTCATAAATGTCTTGATTGGTTGTTATCTTCTCTCATGGGACTAATCTTTCTTGGAAGCGTTACATCAGAGGGGATGATGCCTTTTAATACTAATTTCATAAACTCTATTAAATGAGATTTCAAATCAATTCTTGAGGATCCAGTTCAGAGCTGGTAATAAGTCGCTGTGTCCACTCCAAAGTGTGTTAAAGTAACTGGAAGAATGCCAAATGACTTAAATGGCTTCTGCATCAGGGCTTTTATGAAGTGCAGCACTTTTTCCACTTCTGTATATAGTAGATCATTTTGATAACTGAATGTAAGGTCAGCTTGAGGCTTATCTTATTCCTGCCTCCTGAATCTACAGCATCTTGGTTCTTCCAGGGCTGTGGAGTAAGAATTGAAGTCTCATTGCTAAATGGCTCTGCCTTAGAGGAACTAGACTCTTGCTGACCAATATTACTTTTTTAACACTTAGTGGTGTCCATTGAACCTTTTGTGACTAGCAACTTGAAAAGCGTTGTACTAGATATTCAGTATCTTCATTAACATTGAGAATAATTAGTCAAGTTCCCTTTTAAGGTTAAACTTACTACACAAATACCCAGTTGTCTGTTTCCTCCTCCTGTGTTTTGGGGTTCTTTTGAAAAAGCAAAGTATTGATATACTAGAGTTGTACTTATTCAAACTTAATGAAGTAGCATTTAAATTCAAAATCTGACTTTCTCACATTGGATGCAAGATGTGTTGTTTTGGATCATCTCTTCTTATCAGGAAGAAGCTTGATGCTAGAAGACTCAGATTTTTATTTTTAAGAGGTACATTGTTTGGCCTTTGAGGACTTTAATAGTTGAAAGTTCTCCCTGTGATTGTGCTGTTTATTATTTGCTCATGCTATGGAAGAATTTTTTTTCCAAGCCCTTCTTACAGTAGTTACTCCCTTTCACTTCCCATTTCTCATAACCTTTTCCTGACTGTGACCATCAGTTGTGGTAATGAGTAGCTCCTGCTGCATTTCCTAAGGGATGGTCTAGAGTTTCTTCACTTAGATTTAAAGAGAAGTAAAAATGTGGTAATGCTGAGATCTATTTTCAGCTGCAGTTAAGGCAGCTTTGTATTCTGTCATTAGAAACCGGTGCTTAAATTAGGGCTGTTGGTCTGCTCTTTTTTTTTTTTTTTTTTTTTTTTTCCCTTTCATTCAAACAGTGGTAGAATGATATAAATACAGCTCTGTTAATGTAACGTGGTGCTGCACTTTCTTGGTGAGGTATTCATCCATGCTGCTGTTCCCATTTGTTTAGCTTGTGTAAGTTCTGCTTATTCTGGTTGAACTCAGTAATTATAGCTGCTAACTCTAAATGTATAGCAAGGAGTTTAGAAGTTACGTAGTTTCTTAAAATGGGATAGATCTGGTCAAAATAAATAGATCCCCCTGATAGTCACATGTGTTGCCTAGAAAGTAAAGCAAGCAGGGAGTATGCTGTCACTGGCACCAGCTAACAATACAGACGGGGAATTGTGAGTTTTAACTTTACACACTACAGTTTTATATTAATTAAACACCCTCTGTGTGATGGTACAGGCACAGAAGGGGTTTAGGAACCAGGCTATGGAGAAATTGCTTGGACACATTGGGGTGTCGATTCTGTAGTTTGTCTGAATTGGGATCCTGTGCTTTCTAGCATGTCTAACTTGGGTTTTTCCTCCTTTCCCAAAGCTGTGCTCTAGCAGTTTTATTTTTCCCTATTTGGCCTGCAACAGCTCTGTTCATATTTGGGATTTAATTGGATTACAGTGCATTAGCCTTTGGTTAGTTGGGCAGGAAGGAGACCTGAGAGCCAGAATTTAGGTTGTAGCCAAGATGTATAGGGCAGCCAGAGGCTTTTCGGATATAAGTCAGACTAACCTTTTCTCTGTTTCCTTGGCATGTACTCGATTGAGTTTCCAAGCTGAATTGTTTGATGTAGGGAGCCAGGCAGCTTGGGAGAACATGACATCTTGAAAAACCTGAAAAATGCAGGTATTACCATCATGAATCATATACTTGGGTATGGAGGGAGGTGACAGGAGTGAAACTACTGCACATTATCTTTCTCATAGCCTTATGTCCAAATTTAGATTTGATTTTTTTGAATTTAAGGATTATTGCTACAGAATCTTAGTCTGCAATACAAAGAGCCCTGATTGTATTATAGAAAATAAAACTCTGCCTTTGTGGGAGAACCGAAGAGATTAATTCCCGTTCTTATATTCTCCTTGGAGCAATGATTTGCAGTTGAAATCCAGTCTGAATATAACATTTCTTTAGCATACTCTAGTTGTCATCAAATCAGTGGTTAATGGTGATTTAGTTAAGAGATCTGATAATCAGGGAGTTCATAAATCTTAAAAGAAACATAAGCTACAGGTTAAAAACAACATTGGATTGTAATGTGGTGGTCTTAAAGGCAGAAAAGGAAACCGTCTACGTAGAAGTGGGTAGTAACTTCATAAAATCTTAACTGTAAATGTGACGTAGATTCATGGGCCCACAGCATGATTCTTTGAAGAACTACTCTTCCGTTTCAGGTATGGCAACATACTCCAGTTTCCTACTGAGGGTGATGCAGTCAAAATCAAATTCCCCCTGCATTTGAGATACTTAGGGAAGGACTGAAAAGTGATAGTTGAGTCAACTATTGCAAGATCTTGGTGACAAGCAAAATTCAGGTTTTCCTTTTCAAAGCAAACAAACAAAACCCAACCAGCCAACAAAAACAAACCATGAAATGGGATTCACAGTGGCTAGACCTTGTTGACAATGTGAGGAATGAGATGAGTAGCTGTTAAGACTGACCTTCAGGAAATGCCATTATGTTGAGGAAGAACCCCAAAAGCCAGTGGAGAGATATTGCTTCCTTCTGTGTTGGTTAAACAGGATGTGGGTGAATCCAGGCTCAATTTTTTTCATTAGAATTGTAGCAGAGACTTGTAGCAGAGGCTGGAAGCAGTATCTACTGGACTCACCTGCTTAAATGCTTAAGACACACCCAGGCCTTTCCCTACTCAAAGGAAAGCTACTAAACACCCGGCCTAAATATATGCTCTTTCTCTCAGGTTTCATTACCAGAAGTTTTTTTGAGGGAATAATTTATTTCAGAGGTTCAAGAGGGAGTCTTGACTTACAAGATACTGAAAACTTGCTTTAAGATAGCCGTAGAATTAACTATGAGCTTGGAAGGAAAACCAAATGTTATTTAAAGCTATTTAGAAAACGAAACAAAAACCCGGAACTTGCCTCACTGGCTTCTGGTGGGGGGAAAAAAAAAACAAGTTGTCTTTGGGTAGCATGGCCTGCAGAGAATTGTTGGTTCTACTTAAAGCTGTCATTTGAATCACAGCTTTTAACTGAGATTTAGGTGAAGGCTTCTTCCTAGTTCATTTAAGTAATAGATTTTTTTAAAATCTTGCTTTGCATTTGTGCTTTTTTTTAGAAGTTGATAGTGGTTGGAAACGATTAAGACACACTGATTTGTGTATAAATTTAACTCTTTTGCTAGTTCTAGAACCTTCTCTCACTACCCAGAAGGACGGGCATTTGAAGAATTGTAAAATTTATTTATTCTTATTGTAACAATGAGACTTGTATTAAAATGGTGATTGACACTTTATATTCTTTCTTACTTGTGACTTGTCAAGCTTTTTTCCACCTGAAGATTGGGAAGAATTGATATAAAAATGCAGATTTTTTTTTTAATTAGGTAAAAACTGTTGAACATATCCATTTAAAATTGAGGTGCTGAGTAGAGGAACTATCATATGTAGTTTCTTTTGCTGCCCTGTGCCCGTTCCTGAAAAATGTGACATCTCTATTTTTCCTTCTCAGTTCTGTCATCCTCTTCTCCCAAAAAGTACTGCCTGCTTATCACAGGATATATAATTAAATAATATAGCAAATATAGCCCTTGTGACATGTGATTATTACATCAAATTGAACTTGAAACTTATTTTTAAGTTAAAGCTAACATTTCCTACAGTGTTTGTATTCATCCAGATTTTAAACTATTTCTCGCCCAACCTGCTGAATATCCTTTTGATTGTCTTTGTCCTCAAATCTCCTCTGAAGGGAGGCTTAGAGACTCTTTTGATATGAGTAGCAAAAGCAGGTATGTCTGTTCATCTTGATTAATTTTTGACGCTATTCTTGCAGTGAATACATTTGTTCAAGGATCCCACCTAAGCAGCACAAGACAGAACGTTTCCTTGTGCAGTAGGGAAGAAGCGAGCTGTGCAGGAGCCCGGTGAGACTTGCCGGCCATGCTGGGACTCAGGATGCCCCTGGCAGGTCACCTGCTGTCCTGATGCTGAGCCCGCACCCTGTGCCCTCGCTGTGGGAGGTGCCAGACGCACTGGAGGAATTCATTGTGTGGGCACATCTGCGCGGCGCTGTTAACTGTTCCGTGGTAGGGCTGGTGTCGTCAGGGCTAAACATATGTCACTGATCTAGGAAGTTTGAATGATGTTTCTCATAGAAAAACTGGCTGCTCATGGCCTGGGTGAGCATACAGTCTGCTGGGTCAAGCACTGGCTGGATGAATGGTCCCAGGGGGTGGTGGTCAGTGGAGCTAAATCTAGCTGGCAGCTGGTCACAAGTGGTGACCTCAGGGCTCGGTATTGGGACCATTTCTGTTCAACATCTTTACAGATGATTTTGATAAGGACCTAGAATGTATCATCAGTGAGTTGCAGATGACACCAAGGGAAGCGGGAGTGTTAGTCTGCATGAGGACAGGGAGGCTCTACAGCGACCTGGATAGATTGGATCGGTGGCCTCTGTTAACGGGATGAGCTTCAACAAGGCCAAGTGCCAGGTCCTGCACTTGGGCCACAACAACCCCCTGCATGGCTACAGGCTTGGGGAGGAGTGGCTGGAGCTGTCTGGGGGAGAAGGATCTGGGGGTTCTCATTGACAAGCAGCTGAACAGGAGCCAGCAGTGTGCCTGGGTGGCCAAGAAAGCCAACGGCATCCTGGCTTGTATCAGCAGTAGTGTGACCAGCAGAAGTAGGGAGGTGACAGTCCCCCTGTGCTCTGCACTGGGGAGGCCACACCTGGAGTGTTGTGTCCAGTTTTGGGCACCTCAATATGAGAGAGATCTCGAGGGGCTGGAGCAAGTGCAGAAGAGGGCAACAAAGCTGGTGAAGGGCCTGGAGAATAAATCCTGTGAGGAGCCATTGAAGGACCTGGGACTGTCCAGTGTGAGGAGGAGAAGGCTGAGGGCAGACCTCATCACTCTCTACAGCTCCCTGAAAGGACACTGTAGAGAGGCTGGTGCTGGTCTCTTCTCACAGGGGATTAGTGACAGAACAAGAGGGAACGGCTTTAAACTGCAACAGAGGAGGTTCAGACTGGACATTAAGAAAAACATCTTTCACAGAAAGAGTGGTCAGAAAGTGGAACAGGCTGCCCAGGGAGGGGGTGGAGTCCCCATCCCTGGGTGTGTTTAAGAGTCGTTTGGATGAGATGCTGGGGGATGTGGTGTAGGGGAGAACTTTGTAGAGTAGGGCTGATGGTTGGACTCGATGATCCCAAGGGGCTTTTCCAACCCGAATGATTCTGTGAAGGCTAAGAAACATCACTGATCTTTTTTTTTTTTTTTTCCTTTTTCCTGTCTCTCCTTACAGTTGGTCCATTAACCATCACCTTCAGGGTGCTCCCTAGTGAAAGAATGATCATCAAAAAAAATCCTTTTGTTCAGGCCGGTGGCCGCTACAGGCCACCTCACTGCTTGGCCCGCTACAAATCAGCCATCCTTGTAGCCTACAGGAACCAGGAGAAGTACCTTCACCATCTTCTCTACTATATTCACCCTTTCTTGCAGCGCCAGCAGCTCAGTTACAGTATCTACTTGATTCAGCAGGTAAATTGAAATCAGATGCGCCTGGTGGTGTAGCTGAGCTTTCCCAGTTAAGGTTTAGGTTCTGAACAAGAAATGTGAATCTTTGAATGTGGAAATACCATTTGATGTGTGGGTCAAGAGTAGGTCAGTTATATGCTGGCCCGTCTCCATGGCTGCTAATGATTGAAATACCATACCAGTTGTGGAGATTGTCAGTCTTTTATTGATTGGTTATGGCTTTTTTTTTTTTTCCCCCCTTTAGAGGCACAAAGTTGTCATTAAGTGGTAACTTGTATTTTCAGCTGTTCAGGAGTTGAAGGTGGTTGGCTTGTAGCTTGTCAGAGTGGCTACTGAGCACAACTGTTGAGACTAAATGCAAAAGTGAAGTTGGGTAGTTTTAGTCTGTATCAAATAAAAACATCTGGCTCAGCCCTGCTGTGGGGCAGCCTGTGCAGGTCAAACAGCCATTTTTAACTGACATGGTGTGGCAAAAAATCAGTGGTGAGTGAGCAGGTTTTGGATTCATTAATTAAAAATGATTGTTAGCTGGGGGGAGAAGCAGATTTTTTTTATTTGACCAAGAGCTTTTGTCTCATTTTTAAGCCTTAATAAGCAGTAGTCCGGGCAGAAGTGTTGATGTGCAGCTGTATACCTGAGGATTGACTCACTGGTCTCTTAAAAGTCAGCTGCCTTCAGGTGCCCACAGTATACACCCCTGACACACCAAAGCTTACAGTTGCTGAGAGTATTGTGAAGAGAATGGGTGAAATTTTCAGTCTGGAGCATGAAATTTGCAGCCAGTCCTGATTCATTGCAATGTCATTCAACTGAATAAGGCTTTTTTACTAACATAAGGTTTAACTGAGTTGTCCTCCTTGTTGTTCTGGTGAAGAAACGTTTGGTTTTCTTTTCCAGGTGGGGAACGGTACATTTAACCGAGCAAAGCTGCTTAATGTTGGTGTCCGGGAAGCCCTGAAGGATGAAGACTGGGACTGCCTTCTCCTGCACGATGTGGACCTAGTACCTGAGAATGATTATAATCTCTATGTTTGCGATGAATACTATCCCAAGCACATGGCTAGTGCCATGGATAAGTTTCAGTACATGTAAGTGCCTCTATTTGCTCTGAATATATGTATTCTAGCTGGCTCCGTTTCTGCACAGAAAATAGAAATGGGGACAGTAAAAGATACAACCTTTACAAGGTTTTACTGTTTGTTAGTTTTGCAGTAGTGACTTCCCCAGGAAAGGGTATTCTTGACCTATTGCCCTGGTTTCAGCTGGGATAGAGTTAATTTTCTTCCTAGTAGCTGGTACAGTGCTGTGCTTTGGATTCCGTGTGAGAATAACGTTGATAACACACTCATATTTGAGTTGTTGCCATAAGTCAAGGATTTTTCAGTTTCCTGTGCTCTGCCAACGAGCAGGTGCACACGAAGCTGGGAGGGAGCATGGCCAGGACAGCTGACCCGAACTAGCCAAAGTTCCATACCACAGAACATCATACTCAGGATATAAACTAGGGGGAGCTGGCCAGGAGGGGCGGGTCGCTGCTCAGGCATCGGTCAGCAAGTGGTGAGCAACTGCACTGTGCAACATTTTTCCTTTCCTGGGTTTTATTTCTCTCTTTGTTATATTCCTTTTCATTACAATTATAATGTTTAATAATTAAAATATAAAATATCACTTATATCAACCTGTGAGTTTTACTTTTTTTTCCAATTCTCCTCCCCATCCCACTGGCAGGGAGGAGGAGCGAGCAGCTGCGGGGAGCTTAGTTGCTGGCTGGGGTTAAACCACGACACCTACATGTGCAATCCTGAACAGTTCCCTATTCTGCTGTTAGTTCAGCTTGGCACATGACTGGCAGATTTCTGTTTGCCTTTCCTTCCAGAAAGAAAGTATAGAGTTGGGAATTACTGGATCACGTGGAAGAAGTGTGATAGGATGCAAATATTTTGAACTGACTCAAGGATGTGAAGTTCAAAACTGGTTTCACTTTGGTCTGCTGGAGTGAAGGGCAGGGAAACGATGCAGGGGATGGAACATGATAGGAGTTACACTGGTTTTGCTATTTTGGGTTTTGGCATTGTAATGAAAGTGTCTATAAGGTATGCAATTAATATATGTGTGACTTGGATCACATTGTTAGCTTGTGGAGGACTGGTATTAGCCTCTAATATTGATGCTTTTGTGTTTTGTTTTTTTTTTTCTTTTAGTCTGCCTTATAAGTCCTTTTTTGGGGGTGTATCTGCTCTGACTCCAGAACATTACATGAAGATGAATGGGTTTCCAAACACGTACTGGGGCAGTGGTGGTGAAAATGATGACATTGCTACAAGGTACCAATGCACAAGACAGGCTTAAAATAGAACCAGGCTGGCTAGTGAAACATGTAGCACTACGCTAAGGAAGGATCTAAGATGTCGTTCCCTAACAGGCTTGCAGTATCATTATAATCCAAAATGCTTTTGACATTGGGTGTGGTTAATGTCAAAAGATGCTCAGAATCTGTGAATCCAGTCACTGTGTGCTGGAAGGACAAAGCTTTCCTCAGACTTCAGAAGGCAGAATGTTACTTCACATCCCTGTGCCCTCAGTCGCTCTGGAGTTAGTCCAAGGGGTTATCACCAACAGTAGTTGACAAGTGACTCCATTGAGATTAGCAGCCCCGAGGGAAGGAAGGAATCTGCAAGCCTGACGAATAAGAAAGCCAAGGAGGTACTTAGTGAATCTCAGACAGTTGGGAATTTAAGTTATGCCACCTCATCACCAATACTCGGAATTAGGGAACACAAGACATTCTAACTTCTGTCTTCAGTGCTGGGTGATGGAGAAGCTCGTGCATAACTGTGAGTCAGTGACAGCAAGATCTGATGTTTTTTCTCTTGTACTTTAGTTGCCATGGCAGCACCATGCTACAGACCTGAATACAATGAGTTTAGTTCCAGGTACTCTGCCTAATGTAAATTCTTCAAGTACAAAATCATGGCGGTAGCTTCTTTATTCAGCTCTGTAGTTGCACTGTGCACCTTCATCATCCTGCACTGATGAATTCAATGTCCTGCTCATGGGCAGTTTATAAAACTAAAGTGACAATGAAGGCCTTGTGTCTGTTTTAGACTTTCACGGTGTGATAAGTTACACAGTTTCGGTGGAATGTTCTGTCTGAGAACTAGAGGAGATTTTACAAAGCAGTATTCTTCTGGGAATTGAAAATCAGATCGTCTAACACAGAATTCTTCCTTTTCCTTTCAGAGAAAGCTAACTAAAAGGGTGGAGGATTGTTTAGAGACTGAGCATTTACTAAAGGAATGGAATGCCAGGAAAATAGACCTTTACATCAAACACTACAATGCTGGGTCTATTCATCTGTTCTTAGTACAGCTTAGGCAACTAATGTGGTTTTCAGTACCAGTGGCAGAGTCATGCCAAGGAGTGCACTTCTTTTAACAGAAATCTCTTAAGGCAAGGAGGTTATGTAGATCCCAAAATAGCCCTTTCTTGAAGGAAGTAAATCATATGTTGTTTCTCTGAAAAATTATGCTAACAATTAGCAATGTTCTGGCCCATAGGTCCATGGAGACTGTGGACAGTGCCTGTAATTTATTCACGCACTGAAGTCTCAGCCTGCAGAAGTTAGGAATGAGCTGGCTGGTTTTCAGTGGCTAGCTTGATGCGTCTACTGGGATTTGGATTTTAGAAAGTGCTCAAGCACTTCTTCCATGTAGCAACAAAATTAATTGGTATTTGAAATTGGATGTCAAAATGTTAAAACAGGGTAAAGATTTTTTTGTTGGGATATTGCTTATTAAAGCAGAGTTAATGAAAAAGCATTCTGGCTGCTGCTTATAGTTGGCAGACTCAAGTAGTCTATATTATTAGTCCTAACAAACACCAGGATCTACCTTTTATTAGAAGAAAACCCTACGCTAATTGGAACCACTTAAAATGTTAACATTACCAACTACAGGAAAGTCTGTTGGGTGGTTCTTAGCAGTAAATGAATGTATTAAACTAAAACCATAATATGAAACAACCTTTCAGTATAAAAACTGTACCAGTAAAGCTAGTTATAGTGTTGTTTTTTCTTGTCTTTTTGATTAAATGTGCAATAATCAGAAAAAAGAAACCTTGTCTTCAACTCTGAAATCATAAGTGTGTCATACTGTCAACGAAGTGTTATAATCATTTGATGGCTCTAGACTAACAAGTATTTTCAGTTCTGTAGCCTCTTTCAGCTTTATAACATGCCTGTGTCAGCTTGCTGCCGTACCCGATCTCAACGGAAGGCAATCAGATGTTGCAAACATGCCAGTTAGATAACCTCAACCGAGCAAACGTTCACTCTTATGTTCACAGGAATTTTCTCTGTGTAAGAGCTGCCCTGTGATAACAAGAGGTTTGCTAGCCCTAGCACTATTACAGGCGCTCTTTATTGCTAAACTAACATAGCTGCCATCAGCAACATGTTGCCTGAAAGTCACCCAAAAAGCTGGTTTTAAGCGCTCTGTTCTGGAATTCTGAGCCTGTTTATTTTTTATCTAACTGTCCTGCAGTGAGCAGCTCACATTTGTTTGTCTGGTGCCCATGTTTATCACTAACCTGTTATGAAGCCAGTCCTCTAATCAGGCCCTGGGAACGAATGGCATTTCTCAAAGAACAGGGAGGCTTAATCTGGATCTGAAACTCTAGACTGGCTTCCTGTCAGAAACTGTGTTTAATTTGTTTTGGGTTTTTTTTAAGTTTAGGTGATGGACCTCTAGGGGGTAAAAGCTCTGTTCTTACAAGGAAGTGAAAATAATGTCTGTCAGATTCACAGGAATGGCTCTGGAATGTTCTGTATGCTGTTGTTCATTCCCTGCTTGCTATAATCCTCTTTGACAGGGTACAAAGCGTGCTGCAGCTGGGAGCTTTTGAGCCCAAGCCTGGTTAGAACCTACTAGAGAAGATAATGTGCCACTGTTATCTTCTCTAGTAGCTGCTCCCTTCAGCTTCTGCATTTTGCTTTGATTGCATTAAGCGTTGAAAATCATCTCCAACTTTGAACTTCCCTATAACTAATCTTATAAATGTCATCTTTATGCCTAAGCAGATATTTTCTTTGTTGTTTTAAAGGATTCAGTTAGCAGGAATGAAAATAGTCCGGACATCACCTCACCTTGGACGCTACAAAGTGATGGACTACAGTGGAGAGGAGACCCAAGAGCCTTGGAGGAGGTAACTGTGGGGCCAGGCAGGGGGGCAGTGAGGAGGCTACTCAGCCTTGGGGCAGGTTGACTGTTACCATCACCTTCCTCAGAACAGGCAGAAAGTATACCTGATGCTGCTGCCTGCTTTTCTGCTTTAATGTGGCTATTTAAAGAAGGCTCCCAGTCAGTTTCAACTGAATCATTCTGCTCCTCTCTGCATTTGAAGGGTTTCTTCTCATTTCCTACTGTTAGGGACATGTGCCAGCTAGGAAGCTAACACGTTTCAGATTTGAGCATCAAATTATTCAGGGGATAAAAAAAAAAACAACACTGCCTGCCTTGTAAATAGGGAGAGTTCAGTTTGAAGAGGCAGTTTGTAACAGCTTCCCTATAATAGAAGCTTGCTCTTCAATCCGTGTGGATTTACAGCATGCCACTGAAATATTGAAAAGCAGTATTCCAGTTTGAAAACCTGAGGAAGGTGCTATGAGAGACCTTAGCAAAGAGGCAGTTTTACATAAAAGAGCTGGAGGAGGGTGTGAGGTTAGGTGTGGTGAAGGCCTCTCATACCAACAGTGCAGCCTTCCCTCTATCATCTCAAAACTCCTGTTTCCATAACTCTATCTTAAAAACTCCCTCCAGCAGCCTGTACAGCACCGCTGCAAACCTCTGTGGTGCACCCCCAGGTCGAAGCTGCTGCCAGTTTCTTGGGGTTTTTTTTAGTTGGGTTTTTTTTTTTACAGGCTGTAGTTGCTACCTGCCTGGCCTCCCTGTCTGATGAGGTTGCAGTCAAAACTGTCCTTCTTGATTAGAATACTCAGCACAAATTTATTGTAATCTGTTTAGGCTTATAAAATGCCACCTTTCTCTAGTCTAGTAATGTGAAGAATTTCCTTGGGGCTTTCCCACGAGCAGCTTTCTTGGGAAGACTGTTTCTTCTGCAGTTTCAGCTGCAAACATCACTTCTGTTCTTTTATCTAACCACAGGTATTCTTCCTTCTTCAGGCCCCCTTCCCGCCACAACACCAGGAAAACATGGAAAGATGATGGAATGAATTCATTAGAATTCAAGCTCCTTTCCAGGACAAAGCATCCCCTTTATACCAACATCACTGTGGACATTGGATATGTTCCTCCATTTTCTTAAGAGAATGAAGACAAAAGCAGAGTTTGGGCTGATGGCAGCACGCACACGGGCATTCAGCCTCTACCTCCTGTTGTGGGGTCTGCACCACCTGAGACGAAACCTTCTGTCTTCCATGCATTTCACTTCTGTTTAGGACTTAGAAGAAAAGGCTTCAGGAACAGCATATGATGGCTAAGAAATAATCTGTGTCTTACTGTAGAACTAACTACTGAGCCAGACCCAGCCCTCAGGCCTTGAGGATCAAGGTCTCCTTGTAAGCTGACTCAAATCTTCTGGAACCTTTGTTCCACAGCTGGATAGCTCTGGCCTGCTTTTGTACTAAAGTGTTAAATCAGGATACAAGCCATTCTGTCAGACAGGCCTCAAGTGCTGTATTTTGAGGAAGTGTTGAAGCCTGCTATAGTTCTGTAAATACCTTTTGTGAATTTGAGTACAATAAATTGAGTTACATGTTTGGGTTAAGATTTTCTAGAATATCTATTAAGCCTAATAAAGGAGAAAGTCGCCCTGAAACTAGAGAAAACCAGAGCTTAAGCCCTTGTTTTTTTTCTGGTGCAAACCATCAGTGCTTAAATGTTTCTAGTGTAGCTCTAAGTAGTTCAGGCTGAGACCTGCAGCTGTCACCTGACCTAACCTGCTCAGAGTAGGGAAATTAATTTCAGCTGTTGTTCAAACATTAATTAGCCCTCAAGGTTGATCCATCTTCAACAGAAAATACTTCTGAGGAGGTAAATACTAGTTTTTCTCCTTAGTATAGCTGTGACCCTGGCAGGAATGCATTTGTGCTTACCTAACTGAGGCTGACAGTGCCTGCCCAAGCCCTTGCCCCTTCTCTGTAAGGCAGGCAGTAGCACTGCCTACCAGGTCGTTGTTTTGTCAGCATGACATAGGGTATTTTTGCTTGTTACTTGTAGATATGAAAATCCCCTGTTCACTGAAGAGCTGCATCTATCCCACTAACACCTCAGAACTTAAAGTTTGTCTTCTCTACAGTTGGAATAATAAGTCAACCAGCCAGAGATTCATTCTTCAATATTACAGTAAGCAGAAGTTACTTTTTGTCATGTAATTCTTAACACATTGTGTCCTAAAAGACTCTCCCAAGCCTGGCTTTACATCTACCTGAAAGGGATCTGTGTCCAGCGAGTGGGTGTACAGACAGTTAGGTATAATGCAATAAGGAAAGTGCTCTAATCAAGATTTTAGCAGAAATCCTGTAACACAGTAGAACAGTTAGTTATCCACAGACTTTTACCAGTCTTCTAAAACAAGAATCAAAAATAATAATGAATACAAATGCACACTCTACTAACAGTGCAGCCTAAAGCATTAAAAAACTGCAGACAGGAATTTCTTTCCATCTGACTGAGTTGGCCACTGCATTTCCTCCCAGATCTCTCCAGAACACCACAGCCTGCAGCAGAACTGAGATGCTTTTGCCACAGGACATTTAAGCAGTCCCACAGCAGGGAGAGCTGAGCTCACACAGGACAAGAGAAGCCTTTTGAATTCAACAGAGTGTATTTATTGAGAGATTTTTCAACATCTCCTACCCCATTACCATTACTGCCTTTCCCTTACACATAAGCAGCCCTCAGATGGAAAAAATATAGCTTTTCTCAGCAAGTTTGTAGTTGAAGAATTCTTGTGCTTTTAATGAGAAAAGACTGTCCTGTTCCTTTTGAAGTCACAGCAGTGTTGGCAGTGCTAGGCAGCCTTCCCCCTACAACAAATAAGTTTAGGAACAGTTGCAAGAACAGATTTTTTCTCAGGGGACTTAGTTCAAGTCCTTCTACGGACCAGCTCAAACAAGGACACTTTTGCAAATGTCCCAACAGAAAGTGCACAGAACATGAGTCCTGTCCCTCGGATCAGTCCATCTCTCCAGTTCTCACAAAAGGAAGGTCTCAACCAATCAATCAGATGCTGTGAAGAAAAACTTTCACTCCTGAAGGCCTCTTTCACACAGAGCACCAGGAATCATCTGCTGGAACAGCCACCAGAACCAAGACCTGTTGCCATTTCCCATAACCTGTGGTGCTCACCCTTATGAGATCTTGGGCTGCATGCTGAAATCCACTGTGATGTTGACATACAAAGGGTTATGTTCCACTGAGAGCAGTTTATATGAACAAGAGTTCAGCCCATCTGTTTTCCATGTTCTAGATACCTGACGTAGCAGCTTCATCCTGAGGACAAAGAGGAGAAAATCTTCACTGACATGCAAAGGAGAGGAGGTTGGAGCTCTTTCCCACTACTGGGAAACTTGGAAGCAGAGCTGCTGCCAGTCTGTATCTACTGGGACCATGAAGTCATGTTTTTCCTGTCCTCAGCATGGACAATCAGACATGGGGAAGAGTGTCCTTTAGTTTAATTTCTGAAATCACGTGCTCAAATCAGATCCACATAATTATAGCTTTGTAAGTTTAAGGAACATCATCACCCTGTCAGATCTAGGCAGACCTGTACACACTAGCTGCCAGCTGTGAATGGTGGTGTCACAGCAGTGTCCCCCAGAGCCTTTGGGTACCGCAAAGACCTTAGCCCCCAGGTGTCCGTCTCTCAGCTGCATACCAAGACAATATAAGCTGGAACACTGTTCTTGACTCACCTCTCTCCATTCTCCTCATTACCATGGTCTCGTTTGTGGAAGATCATGGTGTACCTGGCTACATCAGCAGATGGCCTCACCACTCTCATTTTCTGCATCTCAACCCTGGAAGAAACAATAGTGCCATGAGCAAGACATCACCTACAGACAAGCTCTTAAGGAAAAAAAGCAACATTTGGAGACTTCCATCTCTTGTGGGTGCCATGGAAGCAAGCAGAGAACTATAGGAAACTCATCTGCATCCCTTCCAAAACCCAGTTTGCCAAAGAAATGGGGCTCAGAGTTGCATTTCTGGAGAACTGATCCAATAGAGTGACAGATACCCCCTTCTTTTGAACAGAAGCAGGTAGCTACTACAGTACAGGTCATGGAGAGCTTTAAACACACATTATATGACAGAGTATGTTTAAATTGGTATTGTCTGGTATAGTTTCTACTGCCCTGGATTAACCTGGGAGGGCTGTAGCAACAACTTAGCTCCTGCAATAAGCCCCTATACTTGATAGTTCTTCAATTAAGAAAAAAACCCACTTGTTTTCTTTTTTAATAGTTGGTAGACAGCTGAAAAGTTCTTATTTGTTCATATGGAAGAAAGTGTTTCTGGCACTGTTCTCAAGGAAATGTAAGCGCCATGCATGGACTTAAGTGTCTGGCATCAGGCACTTGGAGTTTTTGGTCTTATTAAATGTATCTGTGGAACACAACAATTTTGCTGTCAGCAGAAAGGATTAACTTCATGACACTGGAATTAAGGAAAAGCCCAAGTCTTTGCTAGTCACATCAGCAGCTGAAAGTGCAGTAGAAAACCAAGACTTGAAGAAACTGAGCCCCTTATAGGTTTCCAGTGACTGTTTGTAGCAGTCACAGTAATTGTTGTAAATTATCAAACAAATACAACAAACTATCTGAAAAAAAATCTTGCGATGCACCCCTGATGGGCCCATCACATTGACCACAGAGACAGAACAGTAGCACCTAAGAGGACTCCGGCCTGAGATGTTGAAGATAGAGAGGGGGCTGCTGCCATCTGCTGTCTCCGCTGAGGAAGGCCACCAGTATCTCCCTACAACCACCCACTGCACCAGCTCAGCCGGAGATCCACCCAGGAGGAAAGGCACAAGCCGAGCCCAGTTGTGGTGTGCGCTCTGGGTCATACGGTTTGGTTTCTACCTCAACAACTGCAAAGTTACAAGGCACCACGCACAAGGAAGGATCGCTTTTCAAAGAATCACGGAATGATCTCGGTTGGAAAAGACCCTGAAGCTCCTCCAGTCCAACCATTAACCTCACACTGACTGTTCCCAACTCCACCAGATCCCTCAGCACTGGGTCAACTCGACTCTTCAACCCCTCCAGGGATGGGGACTCCCGCCCCTACCCTGGGCAGCCCATTCCAACGCCCAACAACCCCTTCTGCAAAGAAATACTTGATTCCAACCACTCCAAACATTGCAGAGACCCTCAGTAAATCCTGCTGATCTGCTGCATGGCTGGCGCTCTGCTGCTCACAGCAACATTTGAAAGAACACCACTAATCACCTTTGTTCACTTAACTGACACTTCTCAGGAAGCTGGGGAATAAGATGGTACCAAACCATCCCTTACTACTATAAAAACCAGCTCCCAAGAGGTCACGGAGGAGAAGCTGGTGTCTCCAGCTAGGGCTACAGAGGAAAAAAGTTGTGATTAAGAAGGGACAAAAATCCACATCTCCACTAGACTTTTTAGATTTCTTGAGATACAGCTGACTGATCTGCTGAACTGACAGACAACAACTTTCATTTGGAAGTTCTTAACTTTAACACACTTGATTGCAGCCAGTATAACTGTTTAACATCACCATGGATATGAATTTTATGTCCCCAAACTGTTCACATTTACACAACTGAAAGGGACAAACACTTAAAAAGATGGAGTAATACCTAAGTTACAAACTCACAGGCTCTGCCAGCAGAGCTTGCAGGATCATGATTTTTTTTCTGTTTGTTCTCCCCCCAGGCCTTCCTTCACTAAAGCAATACAGGATTAGAGATTTCTTCCTTGGCAAAGGGCCTAAGAAGATCAATATAAAAGTTTTGTTGACTTCTTTGTCCCACTAAATCTCTCAAACTAACAAGTTTCTTTTACTTTGACAGACACATCTGCAGAACTAGTTTTAACAAGAGCAAAGGGCATATGCATATAACATGCAGTCTTTCTAAAATTTAAGTTACTATCTTAACTATAGTCAACACCACCCATGTGCAAACTGAGCCCTCCTTGGAGTAAATCATGATAGTCAATGAATGCAAAAAACCCAGTCCCACCAAAACCAAAACACTCCCACATTCTTGTGAAGTATTGGAACTCAATACATTTTTGTCTCTGGCAAATCACACTCCAGTCTCCTTATTTCTGTTACAACCAGTTTCCAAGGGAGAATACAAATACTGTGTGGCTGAGACAAAAACAAAACAAACCAACCAAACATAACAAAACCCACAGCCAGGCAGGAATGCTGTCAGGAGGACCCGGTCTCTGGCATGTGTAACCTTTGCAAAGAGGAAACTCTTCACAGAGCTGCATCTTGCACTCCAAATCCCCACTGCAATACTGTTTTGAATTGAAGGCTCCTGTACAGATCCACCTTTAGAGGCTAGGTGTGAAGTACCCCAAAATTTTTTTTGACATTTTTTATTTTTAAAACCAATTCCTCCACCTTTCACATCCATTTCCCTCTAGCCTTTCTTTTAAAAAAAGAAAAATGTTTTTACCTGATTCGAAGGTCATCATCTTCTCCACCCCAACCCCAGTAGTTGTTAGAGAATCCATTCACCTTGGAAAACTGATCTCTTGTTAGAGCAGTTACACCTCCAAAATACCCCCGGTACCGTAACCTAGAAGTACACAAGAGAGAATGAAGAATTCAGGAAGTCAGATTCTACTAACAATGAAAATATGACTCTGAAACTCTTGATCTAGACTTGTCTTTCATGGAGTTAAAGGTGCACAAATCCATGAGGCTAGTCTTGTACTCTTTTCATAAAAATATGTTGATTTGCTTTAGGCCAGAAAAAGTTCGCTCTCCAGCTGAGAGAACAGAACAGTCTTCAATAATTCCTCTCTTTCAACAATTGCCCTTGTCAGCCAAGGCAGCACTTCACCTCAAGGACTCTGATGAGTAGAAAAGGCACAAACCTTACACACTAATACAGCTTTGCAATCCTGATAGCAATCCTTTGACTACCTTAGCTTAGAGCTGAATCTGAAAAACTTGAGACTGAAATCAGCTCACAGCAAGGGGGCATGTGCTATGGGATATTGCAGGACCAATTCCAAGGCACAGTGCAAGTTACTTCAGAACCTAATGTGATGGAGCTCAGCTCTGAAGGAGATTAATTTCTAACTTCTACCTTCCTTGTCCTGAAAACTGGATCTACTTTAAAAAAAATATTTACATACCATGCTTATTTATCATCTTACAGCATTTTGCTAATTGCTTTTTATGCTACCT